GGCTCGTTCTAACACGCCCCCACATGTCTACGTCACGATGTGGGAAGATTTGCATAACGCCGCCCAAAAGTTCACACAAAGAAAGAAGGCGTAACTTTGATTCTCGCTGTAGTATTGTTGCTGCCGCCGCCGCCATGTCTTGAAGACGCTGTGTGTTTCGTTATGAAAGTGAAACTCCTTTGTTTGGCCTTCCAAAAGAGGACACAACTAGAAATCAGTGGTAAAGTTGTATTTACAACACTGTTCCAGAACAGATCAACCCAAATATTCAGATGTGTGCAGCGCATTTTATGAAGGACGAGGACTGTTTCCTGGGAGAGTAGCGCTTGTTGTTTGTCGTTTCTCCGATCACAAATGCAGACATGGTTTTATGTTAATGTGGCGCAATACGCAATGCAACGCGTAAAAAGACAGTATAAGTCATTATAATCAGTAATTATGTCCCCACTGGATGCAACAAATGCCTCGACATATATACATATATATATATATATATATATATATATTAAGTATTTATGTTGTGACTTATTTTCAAAAAATATTTATGAAAATATTAAAATGAAAAAAACAAAACAAATAGCATGCAAAATATGCTAGCATGATGAAACATCAGCTTTGCCATCACAAGAATAAATTATATTTTAAAATGTATTCAAATAGAAAACAGTTATTTTTAATTGTAAAAATATTGCACATTATTACTGTTTATTCAGAACACAATCTTAATCTCTATGTGAAAACCAAAGTGAAGCACTCACTGCTGTATGTGATGTTGAATCCTCGACCGGACATGGAGTGGTCAGCCTGAAACTCCAGCTGGAGGATGTTGGAGTTGCTGGTGAGGTGCGACGGCACTTCTGCCCCAGAGAAGCGTCCCAACACCACAGCGTCCACCAGCTCTCCGTCCCTAACAGTCAGGAAGTCGTAGGGAGGCTCCAGGTCAAAATCATTGAAGGCCAAATGGATGCGGCTGCCTGGTTCGGCCATGATCAGCCAGACGCAGTTGAGGTTGTTGCCATAACCTTCCGGATAGTCTGGAGACAGAACCGTTCCCACGGCAGCCGTGAAGTTGGACATACAGGGAACTAAGAGAGGGAGGAGATGCTGATCAGATACATGAAGGTCAAAAGCAGCAAAGACTAATCTAAATTCATTTTAAAGGCATCAGATTTGGCTAAAATCTCTTAGCTGCAAGTTAAGGCAAGACACTACAGGCAAAACCACTGTTTTTTTTGTTTGTTTTTTTTTCATGCACTGGCCAATTTAGAGATTTTGGGCTCATTTGCTTTCATAACATTTCTTTTTTTCAGACTAGTGGAAAGAAAACATCCAAACTGTACATTTTAGTGTTAGTTTTATTACACTTTATCTCTTTGCGTCTGTAGATTTCAATTGTGAGCCACATCATTCTCATAATGTTTTTTTTTTCCATGCAATGAGCCAGAAATGAAGGTCAAAAGCAGCAAAGACTAATCTAAATTCATTTTAAAGGCATCAGATTTGGCTAAAATCTCTTAGCTGCAAGTTAAGGCAAGACACTACAGGCAAAACCACTGTTTTTTTTGTTTGTTTTTTTTTCATGCACTGGCCAATTTAGAGATTTTGGGCTCATTTGCTTTCATAACATTTCTTTTTTTCAGACTAGTGGAAAGAAAACATCCAAACTGTACATTTTAGTGTTAGTTTTATTACACTTTATCTCTTTGCGTCTGTAGATTTCAATTGTGAGCCACATCATTCTCATAATGTTTTTTTTTTTCCATGCAATGAGCCAGAAATCTCAATTTAATCTCCATTTGGTGATTGAAACAAATATGAAATAATGCAAAATATTAATAACAGATAAAGTATACTTAAAAAAACTTTTTTTAATTAGAGACGTTGCCTTTGAAACTAACTGAAGGACTAATATACCAAAGAGAGGCACATACATACATACATACATACATGCATACATACATACATACATATATATACATATACTGTATATACATATATATATATATATATATATATAATTAAAAAGTGAAAATGTAATAAAATATAATAATAAATAAATATTATAACAGTATATAATACTAAACATTTATATTTATATTTATACATACATGTATTATATATTTTGCACCTATACATTTCCTTTACAATACATACCTTTGAAAGCTGTTTTCGCAATATTAGTTTTCTTTCTCTCTCATGCAGCGCGATAGAAATCTGTTTTAGTGGTACTTAAACCAATCTTTCTGGTTTTATTCCTATCTATATTCTGATAAATTTTACAGAGAGGTTTGTTCATATATTATTCACCTAATTTATAGCATATTATTTTAATAAAAATCTCCACTTCAGCAGCACTTACACTAAACTTTACAGTTTCATTCCTATCTATATTCTGATGGTTTTCAGGGAGGGTTTTGTTCACATATCGTTTGCCTGATTTATAGAACATTTTAAGCAAAGAATACTTAAACCAATCTTTCTGGTTTTATTCCTATCTATATTCTGATAAATTTTACAGAGAGGTTTGTTCATATATTATTCACCTAATTTATAGCATATTATTTTAATAAAAATCTCCACTTCAGCAGCACTTACACTAAACTTTACAGTTTCATTCCTATCTATATTCTGATGGTTTTCAGGGAGGGTTTTGTTCACATATCGTTTGCCTTATTTATAGAACATTTTAAGCAAAGAACTTTTTTTTTTTTTTTGGCTACTGACAGTATTTTCTGATTCATGGAGTGAATAAGAGAGTCTCTGTAAAACCTTCAACTCCAATATGTCAACAAAAAACAAGAACTTGGCTTTACCCAATATTAAGATTTCTGTTCTGAAATTTGTATGCAACTTAGTGCATATTTAATTAGATAATGCCTCATATGCATATATTAAAAAAAAATTCAGAACTTACAACACAAAACAATTGTCTTAATCAAGTGGGATAAGTATGGTGATATCTGTAAATTAAAATGTTTACCCTATTCACCTGCAGTGTCTTGCCTTAAGCAATAACTAACACGCTGACAGGTGACAGCAGAGATAGAAAGAATGCTGCACCTGTTTCCTTGAGGGATTATTGTATTGTATTGGAAGCAGTAATTGTATTAAACTGCACTGCAGGGCACACTGGGAATTTTAAATCTCTTGAAATGGTATTGCTCTTTGGTGCTGTTTGCTTGTCGGGCTCTCAGAGAATTGTTATCTTATCATCTGCCAGAGCGCCAGGGGCGGTTCTAGGGGGGGGGCAGTCTTTGGCCCCCCCTACATTTGGAATCATATCACACCAAACTATTTTGGGTGAAATGCGCAGTTTGTCCTGTAAACTATGCATATAAAAAAAGAAAAACATCTCCAGCAGCTAAATTCAAATCTGCGTTCGCTGGCTGGCACAGAGCCAGAGACACACGCGTTTTGTATGACAAGCATGAGAGCCCCCCCCCCTTTATTCGTGCCACCTCAAAAATGATGCCTCTGACACTACAATACAAAATTATTTGTCAAATAAATGAAACATGATGAAACATTCATTTTAGTTGAAATTGTTATAGATTACATCTAGATTGCAGCGATACGTGACATGGTGAAAAATGACTGAATGAATAATAGGCTACTTAAAGTAGTTGAAGATGAATTCTAAAATTGTGCCCCCTAAAAGCACAAGTGGCCCCTGTCTGGCCCCCCCAGTTACTGTGGTCTAGAACCGCCCCTGCAGAGCGCAGCTGTCCTTTCGAGTCTGTTAGCCATATTTAACGGCGCAGCGGTTGTTTTGTTTACACACACCGACATAAAACACGGTTTTAATTAGTCCGACCTATTGACATCATTTCATTTAGATGTGTGTCTCACCGACTCTGAGAGATTCAAAGGGTCGTCAGCGCTCATCTTCGTAATGAGCTTGTGAGGATGGATGGAGAAACTGTGCTCTTAAATTACTTCCTGAACGCACAAGGCCTAATGTACCTGAAGAGAGCTAAACGTTAGTATTTCCCATTCATCTTACTCGCAGTTGGCAGGAAAATTACATCATGGCAATTGGCGACATGTCCATGTTATGATCACTTAAATGCACATCACACAGTAATTATGACTCCCAAGCTCTTATGAACTTTCTAGAAGGACTTGTGCTGGCTTTCAAGTTTTGTCAGAATGATCGTATTTACAGTATAATTGCAAAAATGTCATGATTAGCAATATTTAACTCTGGATTACCTTTGAGCTATTTTCTTTTTTTCTTTTCTTTAACTTTGATATATAATATATCATGGACTTGTTAGTGGTACATATCCAGAAAACAAATTGTACACTACCGTTTTTTTTTTTTTAAAGAAATTAATACTTTTTTTCAGCAAAGATACATTACATTTATCATATGTGACAGTAAAGACAGCTATAATGTTACAAAATATTTCTATTACAAATAAATGCTGTTCTTTTGAACTTTATATTAATCAAAAATCTCTGGTTTCCACAAAGATATTAAACAGCTCAAATGTTTTCAGAATTGATAATAACGTTTCTTGAGCAGTAAATCAGCGTATTAGAATGATTTCTGTCGAATCATGTGACACTGAAGACTGGAGTTATGATGCTGAAAATTCAGCTTTGATCATGGGGATAAATTATATTTCAAATATATTCAAATAGAAAACACATTTTAAATCTTAATATTTCACAACAATGTTGTTTTACTGTATTTTTGATCAAATAAATGCAGCATTGGAGAGAATTTTTTTTTTATTATTATTAACTACCTCAAACTTCTGTCCAGCACTTTGGTCAACTTGGGTTGTTTTAAAGTGCTTTATAAATAAAGTTTGATTAATTGATTGATTGATTTTGAACAGTCATGTAAAAAATACCATGGCATTCATAATGGTAGTGTCAAAAACATGATACATGGTAGATTCGTCCACCTCTTAAAAGGTATTGATCATAATTAAGTTTTAATTGTGAGTGTTAACCGCATAATTTAGCTTGTATCAAGGCAACAATTTCCCCTCCGTGCTCCAACCATTCAATAATCACTCCGCTCCGGGTTCACCATTTCCCGCTCCTCGCTCACTGATATCACAAACACCGCTCCATCTTCGCTCCCTGAGGAAATTTACGGCTAAGTTGAAGTATTTCAGTATGTTTTGAAATATCACAGAAGTTCTGTTCATAACATTTATTAAAAGAAAAAAAATAATACTAGGAGAGTAGTTTCAAAGGGGCTTATTGTAACACTAGTGTGCAAACTTTTTTTCCTGCCACATGCCAAGCTGGTTGTCAGCATTAAAAGATAGCTATCATTGCTGCTTTTTGCAGTGCAAATTTTGTTTGTGACGGATGAAAATTAGTATGTTTTTGTTCGTTATTTTATCTACGGATCGCTGCATTTCTTACAGATTTCTGCTCATTCGAAATCGGATACAGATGAAGTAGCACTGTAAGATTACATTTGTTTGAATGCATTATTCCGCTCCGGGTTCACCATTTCCCGCTCCTCGCTCACTGATATCACAAACACCGCTCCATCTTCGCTCCCTGAGGAAATTTACGGCTAAGTTGAAGTATTTCAGTATGTTTTGAAATATCACAGAAGTTCTGTTCATAACATGCATTAAAAGAAAAAAAATACTAGGAGAGTAGTTTCAAAGTGGCTTATTGTAACACTAGTGTGCAAACTTTTTTCCTGCCACATGCCAAGCTGGTTGTCAGCATTAAAAGACAGCTATCATTGCTGCTTTTTGCAGTGCAAATTTTGTTTGTGACGGATGAAAATTAGTATGTTTTTGTTCGTTATTTTATCTACGGATCGCTGCATTTCTTACAGATTTCTGCTCATTCGAAATCGGATACAGATGAAGTAGCACTGTAAGATTACATTTGTTTGAATGCATTATTGAGAGAGCATTGCGTGTGAATAAGTGTTGTAACGTATATATAACGAATAAGTGTTTAAATCACGCTTTCACACGAAAATATTCAGTATCTAGAAGGAACAAACAAAGTCCTTGAGAACTAACTTCCCGCTGATGTCCATTGCCGTCATCATAACCTTCACATTCTTTCTGATTTGAGTGCTCCATCTGTATCAAGCTATAGCTAAATATGTTTAACATGTGAATTCTTGGTAAATATGCAGTTGGCATGAATTGTGCTCGTGATGGAGCGGCAGTGAAGCGAGTGAAAAACACGACGCTCCGACTTTTAAAAAATCCGCTCCTCGCTCCATTCAAAATCACACCGCTCCGCTCCGATCACATACTCTGGCTTGTATGCATTTTAGAAATCGTTAATGAAAAATAGTGATCGTGCTCAGCAGAAAATACTACTCACGTAGCCAGTTAATGAAGCAACAGGCTTGTGTGATAAGACAACATTTCCCATCATTCTCTATGGCAGCATGAGTATGATGAAATACATAAAGCATCAATTACACACTTAATGCTCATCCTTTGCTCTTATTGCTCTTATTATATTATTGCATTAGCACTTAAAAAGCTTCCGATCTGAGAGAAAGAAAAAGGAAATTGCCCAATCAATGAGATACTACTATAGTTTCTATTAATATTTTTATATTTTATTTCATTTCAATTTTAAACTTTTAGTAAATTTGTTGTTTTTATAATATATATATGATTTTTTTTTAAATGTCTATTTATCCATCTATCTATCTATCTCTCTCTGTGTGTGTCTGTATCTGTATATATATACATATATATATATATATATATATAGCTGAAATTGAAGTTTTTTTTCCCCATTTCATTTCTGTTAAAGTTCTATATTATATATTTTTTATGGATTTAGTTTCACTATTAATATTTTGAAGTAGTTTTCATTTTTATATTTTATTTCATTTCAATTTTAAACTTTTAGTAAATTTGTTGTTTTTATAATATATATATGATTTTTTTTTAAATGTCTATTTATCCATCTATCTATCTATCTCTCTCTGTGTGTGTCTGTATCTGTATATATATACATATATATATATATATATATAGCTGAAATTGAAGGTTTTTTTCCCATTTCATTTCAGTTAAAGTTCTATATTATATATTTTTTATGGATTTAGTTTTAGTTAACTACAATAACCCTGGTTTCCATCAGCTTGAATTTCAGTCTCTTCTTCATGCAATGTGATTCCTCGTTCAGAAAACGTAGAAGCACGTTTTTGGTTATTTTTTGCAGCTTGACAGTATAAATCACCCTCAACTTTCATTGAATGAATAAGAGGAAAAAAATGCTCAGATGTTTTGTTTTGTTTTGTAAAAAATTTCATTTTTCAAAAGATAAAAAAAAAAACATTTAGACTTTGAAGCACATAAATAATGGTAGAGAAGCGTCTAGCAGCACTCACATATACAGATGGGGATGTTAGCAGACCATTGATTGTTATTCTGACAGGAAATCATTCGTTCGCCAATGAGCTCGAATCCGAACTGGCATTCGAAGCGCAGCACGTCTCCGTTGGAGAAGCCCCCGCCCTCTCGGAGTCCGTACAGAGGGATGCCGGGATCCCCACAACTTCCCTTGTCAATTTCTGTAGGTAGGCAAGAGAGACGAGAAGAGGGAGAAAAACAGCAGTAAAGCTTTTGAGCCAGCAGAGTGATTTATGTGGGCACTCTGAAGAAGCTGAGGCAGAGAACAGACTCACCTTTATAGTTGATCTTAAAGCCAATAGAGCCCACACTTTCATCAGACTGCAAATGCAGCCACATTTGATGGGTCATACTGACGATGAGGTCAGGGACGAAACTGCCCGTTAACCTGTCCATGCAGAGTGAACAAAAGAAAATAAGAGTCTGTGAGTTCAGAATACAAAACACTAGGGTGGCGGTACCATGCTATAATAATGCTGTCAAATGCCAATACTATGGTATTCTGATATATGCTATAGTATTGAATAATTACTATGTTTATAACACAGTAGTATTTTTATGGTACTCAAAGGTTAGGGGTCGTTAAGATTTTTTAAATATTAAAAAAAAAATCTCTTAGGCTCACACAAAAGGTGCATTTATTTTAACAAAAAAATTTTATGGTACTCAAAGGTTAGGGGTCGGTAAGATTTTTTAAATATTAAAAAAAAAAATCTCTTAGGCTCACACAAAAGCTGCATTTATTTTAACAAAAAAAAAACCAGTAATATTATGAAATATTATTACAATTTAAAATAACTGTTTTACATTTTAATATATTTTAAAATGTAATCTATTGCTGTGAGTCAAAGCTGAATTTTCAGCATCATTACTCCAGTCTTCAGTGTCACATGATCCTTCAGAAATCATTCTAATATGCTGATTTGCTGCTCAAAAAACAATTATTATTATCATTGTAGAAAACTGTTGTGCTGTTATGTGGAAACTATGATACTTTTTCTCAGGATTCTCTGATGAATAGAATGTTCAAAAGAACAGCGTTTATATGAAGTATTCTGTAACAATGTAAAAGTCTCTACTGTTACTTTCATCAATTTAATGCATCCTTAATAAATAAAAGTACTGATTTTTTTAAAGACCCCAAATGGTAGTGTATATCCAACAATATCATAGAATAGCCATGGTATTTATTGAAAAAAAAAATAGTATTACCATAGTACATATTCCAAAAACAACAAACAAAGCTTACAAAAAAGTACTAGACTAGTATCAAAGTATACTAGTAAAAAGTACCATGTTTTTTTGGTAGTGTCCAACTAAAATGTGATATTACCCTGGTATTATGTCCAAAACATAAATAATGTAAGTAATGCCTTAGTACTTTTTGAATTTGACTTCACTTTGTGTTTTCATGTATTTCAAAAACACCATGGTAGCATCCAACACCATAGTACTACAATGATACTAATATATATATATATATATATATATATATATATATATTAGGGCTGTCATCATTAACGCGTTAACGCATGCGATTAATTTGACAATCCTTAACGCGTTAAAATAATTTAACGCAGTTAACGCAAAATTACTGAAGCACAATTTCTATTCTAACCCTTTAACCCAATTTTGCTT